TGATCTATTTTAATAAAGGTTGAAAGAAAAATAGTACAGAAGTAGAGCAAACATTTCCAAGCAGTCTTAAACAATTAAAACTTAGTCAACGTCTCAATTTTAGAAGATCTTCAAGTCCTGCCCACCATCCAGGGTCTTGATCTCCCACCCACCTTCTCTGAGGTCTACTTTGCCATCAAGTCTTACAAAAATTAAAAAAACTCCTGGATCTGACTTCATCCCATTTTAATTTTGAAAACTGGAGGTTATGCTTCCATCAGAACCCTTCATCACTTCATTGTGGAGACAAGGATGCATTCCACATCAATGGAGGGATGAAAACATCAGCTTTTATCAGCTTTTAAGGGTGGTAGATCAATTTGGAGCAACAGCAGGAGAATATCTCTGCTTTCAGCTGCTGGCAAAGGTCTAGCAATGGTCATGCTTCACTGACTTATTGCCACCATCACTGAAGAGCTTCCTGAGAAGGTGTGCTTGCACCAGTCCTATTTAACATCTTCTGCCTGTGAGTTGCACAACTCCGGCAGGTATGGTTGTAGAGAGTGGGGTATTTTTTAACTTTTGGTTGGACGAGAACATCTTTAATATCAGGAGATTCTAAACTTCCAATAAGCTAAAATCAGAATATGTACTTGAGCTCCAGTATGTTAATGATTGTGCTGTTGTAGCACACACCCCAAAAGCACTGCAAGTTATGCTTACAACAGTCGTACAAACATACAGTAGAATCGGACTGTTTGTCAATATTACAGAGACAGAGTTTTGTGCCAGTGATCATCTAGAGCTCCACTTGAATTACCTGCTTTTTACCATTCTAGACTTGATACTTGCTAATGTGCCTCACTTCTGATTCCTCTCCAAGCTGTCTGTCTAAAGAGGCTAGTGTTTAAACTGAAGATTATCCGAAAGCAGTTATGGGGTGGAATGGTGATGCATTGTCAGTACAACTTACCTTGTATCCATCTTTTATATGGCCTTTCACTGCACTGATGTAGTCATCAGGATGATCCACATATCTATCTATTCCCATGTTGTCATAACAAAAGGGAGAAATCCATCTCCTTCTCCATTTGCACGATCCTCTACTCTGTATGGATTAAACTAAACAGAAAAGTCAGAAAAGCTAAATTATAAATTCTGAGAGAATTATCCCCACTACACAGATAAATGGGCATCAGTGTGTTGTACTTTTAAAGGTCCGTATAGTTAATACCATTGTACTTAAAGACTAGATCATCTCACTTCAGGTCTTCATGGACAGATGCCTTTGTTTTGGCTTCAATTTAGCCATACGGAGACTTATTGGAAACCTTAAACAGATTTCTACATTTGTTCTTTTCATATTCTCTCTTCAGGAACTGTTTTAAAAAATAACATATCATAAACAGCTAAGTTTAGACTACTGCACAAATTAGCACTTGCACTTCAAGGTACTGGACTGTCTGCACTATGTCCTGTCTTGGCTGTATTATAACATCTAATGTCTAAATGTATTGTAATGTCCATTGTCTGTTTGTCATTTGT